CTTCTTACTCTATTCAAACTTCGACATCTTTTTAAAATTCAAAAAAAAAAAAAGGCAAACTCTTCTCCGCAACTATGTAATGAACTTGTGGAGTCCCGCTATGCGACCTGCCAAGACATGGATCTCTTGAATATTTCTTGACAGCGCCATGTTGAGAACAACTCGAACATCTTCGAGGTTCACCTCTATCCCCTTTTTGTCACGACGTAACCTAAGAACCTTTCGGCCCTAACCCCAAAATCAAACTTCAACATATTGAGCTTCATTCGTAACTTCGCAAAGTGTCGAATGTTTTCCTTATATCACTTGGATGATCTACAACCTTCTTGCTTTTCAGCAGCATGTCGTCTTCATAGATGTCCATATTGCAACCTATCTGCCCCTGAAGTATGTTATACACTAATCTTTTGTAGGTCGCACTAGTGTTTTTCAGCCCTAACGGCAACAGCACATAGCAATACCTTCCCGACGCAGCGAGCGTGTACGAAAGAGAACAAGAAGAGATAAATCTCAAAAGTTTGTATTTTTTAATCATCCAAATTGGTCGGCCAATACATAGAAGAGATAAATATATAGAATTCTCAAGTCCTAAAATACTTAACTTACCCACTAAGAAAGGAATAGGTAATATAAAAATAAAAATTCACTTACCAAACTTAAGAAAGTAAAATAGGAAAACAAATAAATAAGATAGACATAGATAACGACTAATGATGTCGACGATCCCGCTTCTCTAAGAAGGCGAGTGCGATCTTGTTGCATCAATTCTCCTACTAGTTATGAAGCTTACCTTACTCTGGTTTTCAGGTGTCACTTGTATATGATGCATGGTATTTCTGTAATGCATCTATCATGTTCAACAGCCCGTATCCTACAGTTGAATCTCAACCATGAGATCCAGTGACGCACAATAATGACAAATGTATTAAGCGGTGATGAAAGATAAGGGGTTCATTGGCATTTAGGTCTCGTCCATTAAGTGCAACGAGGAAAAATGACAAATGAATCACGCGGTGATGGTAAGCAAAGGACCTATATCCTTACGCACACATGATTCATCATTTTGTCTCTTCCCGATGTGTTTGATAATTGCAATACCTTACACGCAAGGAAGAGATATTCCACCTAAGTACGAACGTATGTATTGAAGATTTTCTTAAAAATTACATGTCGATATAAAACTAATTATAATTTGGACAAGGCTTTGGTGGGATTTCTTTTTGAATTGCCATTTAACTGTTGTAATATATTCTAATGCATGCACTACAAAATAATTGTCATATTCTATATCTATACTATTATAAAAGAGCCAATGAATCTGTAAAAATATGATATCCCTAAATTAACCTTACTTTGTCATGTTTATAATGTCAGTTTTGTAATTTAATACCCCCATTCTATACTAATATTTTTAATTAAACACATTCTAGATCTTGGGGTTTATGTATGTTGGTTTGGCCCAATTATCAATGCGTCTATTTATCAAACTTTCTCCCTTTTGAATATCTTGTCACTCCCCATTTTCACTTTTTGTATGAAACTTTTACATTTATTTAAATAAGATTTTCAATGATATTAAAATCTGAATAAACTTTTAAAAATTATCAAAATGTTAAATTTTACATTTATTTAAATAAGATTTTCAATGATATTAAAATTTGAACAAACTTTTAAAAATTATCAAAATGTTAAGTTAGTTTACAGAAAAAACAAAATTATGACATTACCTTATCAAATACTCATTTTTTAAAATTTAGACAAGCAATGTATCTCTGTACCAAAATAAATAAAAAATAAATAATTAAAAAAATAAATAAATAAATAAATAACGCGTTCAGTATGATAGATAAGGAAAAAACT